TTGACATAGGTTTTGAAACTATGCTTTAATCTTAGACTAGTTTTGATATGTCAAAATAGTTTTGGAAACCAACACTAGCTTCAAGCCTTTCTGCAGCTTGAGTAATATAATAAAAAAAATAAAATAATTAGGCTTGAAATTTTATCGCTGTTATAATTATCTACAGCCAACATTAATTCATTCTCAATACAAGTTTGAATCCTTTGCGGCATATTTTTAATCAAATTTTCAAGAATTTGAATTTTTTAAAATTTGTTTGAAACAAAATTATATTTCACAGTCAGCATTTCACATGTATTATGGTGTAGATTTTTGGGCAATTGATTAATATTTATAACTTGAGTTATATATGCTACATATGGTATAAATTTCACGAGTTGTTAATATTAATACAATCAAAATCTATACCAGGGCTGAAAATAGTGAAATTTGGAATTTAACATTGTTCCAACCCCAGAAGATAAATTTTCTTTATTTACTATATATTTTTTCAGAAGTTAAGGGAAAATCCGAACTTTTAAAATATTATTTCCAGCCCTGGTCTAGCACTTGGCACAACCATTAATTTGTCAGAGTCCTCAAAATTCTGCCACCTCCATCCTAACTATTGCCACAATGCCATCTCCAAGCTTATCACCACTGCTACATTAAACATCATCGCATCGTATCTTATTTGTCATATTTGATAAGTAATTGTTCAAAGACTAGCTATCAGCCACAATAACCCTCATCATTTAGAACATTACAAACGTTAATCTTATCCTGTTCATATGCCAAGTTTAGTTTGTACATACTATATATACCAGATAACTTGGATGAGAACACACCAGTCAGAATACATCAGCAGATACATTAATTGATAAAATTTAAATACAAGGACAATATTTTACATGTTTTGTTTTCGTTCTCCAACATCCATTGGATCATGCGGGGTTAAATATCATAACTAATGAACACGAAATAAAAGATAGTTCAATAAAACACATGACTCGAATATCAGTTTCGATTAATACAATAATTATTATTTAGTAGAAAAATAGTTGTGGAAATATTCGATGTATATTTAATATTAAACTTACACTATTTATTATAAATAAAATTAATTATAAAAGTTTAGCAAATACTACAAAATTTTGATTGCAATAGTTATAATTTTTTTTTTTTTCATTTTTTCATTAAAAGTTAATGAATAATAAGACTATTGAGAATAAAATCGAGAGAGAAATTGTTGTTGCTAGATTGGAAGTTAAGGTCGAACTGTCTGACTTGACGGTAATTGTTGAACAAACATCTGCCTTTGACTAAATTTGTTGAAAGGAAAAAATTTTAAAGGTTAATCATTAATTTTACTAGTTCTCTAAATCATTATTCAACTATATAATTTAATTTCCATAAAATAATACTCACAACAATGCTATTAGACTGAACATCAGTACAATTAGCGGATGAAGAAATTTTGATTGTTTCATCATTTGCAATATTTCTAAACCAATTTCTTTTATAGGAAGTACTTGGCAATGATGGATTCACCACATTTATCATATCCTCCAAAACTGCATCACCCATAACAATTGCACTCTCAAACCAATCACGGCCATCAATTGGATTAGTGATACCATCTTCACGATAAATAGCTTTATTCTTGATAAACTTGTAAGTGGTCTGATCAGCGCTCAGATTGTAATTCTTGTAAAAATCTGCAATTGTCGCTCCAATAAATGTCTCATCAATCACAATATCAACATTTGCAATTGCTTGAAGAAAGCTTTTTGCGTCATTATAAACAAGAGTTGTTGCATTAAAATAGACACCTCCAGCATCTTCGGTGAATTGTTTCTTGTAAATTGCATCAGCAATATTCCAAGTTGCAGTATTATTGTTGAATTCATCTGGAGCAACGTAAGAAATCCAAGCAACTAATGGTTTTTCTTTTAGTGGATGATCGACTGCCATTTTTTTGTAACAATTGTAGTTGTCACTAATCTGAGTAACAATATCAGTGGATTTCTTTTCCAGATTAAAGAAAACTGAATAGAATTTTATCCATCCAACACGATTAAGTGTTCCTGGATCTGATGTTGAAGACGTGCTCACAGATTTCAAGCTTTTAGGATCAGCTGTAAATGCGCCAAATGCTACATCAACTGCTCCAAGTTGTTGTTCACGTAATGCCACATCATTAGAAAGCTGAGTAATGCTACCCTTATCCTTCAATGATTGAATGCACGGCGATGAAACCATTGCAGTTGGATCTAATGCGACTATATTGGATCTAAGTCCAAGAACCTATAGCGTAAAAAATATATTTTAGTTATTATTATGATTATTTATTTTAACTTTTAAAAAATACCTCAAGGAAAGAAACACTAGTAGTATCCAAAGCAGCTATTTTATTGGCAGCAATTGGAAATACTTTGGTCCCGGTTTGTAAATTAGTTGGTACTGGTGTTCCGCATTGATAAAGGGCAAAAGCTTCTTTGGTTTGTGTATTAGTCAACAATTTATAATTATTAAAGTATTGAATACTAAAAAATTGGGAAGGTTCAACTATTATAATTAATTATCGGAAAAAAGTTATGAACGTTAGAATAATTAATTTATCAAAAAAATTTTTATTTCTTCTTTCGATTCCATTCTTCTCCTTTATTTCTTCCATACTTACCAGTGACTTTGGTTGGAAAATAATCGGTATTTGCATCATAAGTTACAACACATTGTCCAATTGGTAAATTATCAGCAGCAGCAACGTAATGTTGTGAAATGAATTGTATTAAAAATATAAAAATGCAGATAAATCTCATGTAAAATCGTTTATATGAAGACATTTTATAAAAACTTGCAGGTGAAGAGAAATGAAAGGTGTAGATGGTAATGGAATGGTTCTTATTTTACAAACATAAAAAATACTCGATTTTATAATACAAATTATTACGCAAAATTAAAAATTAATTGTTAAGATGCTTTTCCCCATCATCTAAAACTACATGTTTGATTAATCACACACACTCACACACACTCTCACACACTCCTTTATTTGGAATTTTAATTTAAAAATTGACACCATAATTAATTAATAAATAAATAATTACACTTTGTCGATCGATCTTGTCCTCCAAACAAAAGTAATCGGATAATAACCCATTCATTAAGCTTGTTCTTGTTTTGCTTTATTTGCCCTGTAAAAAATTTACTCCGTGATTAATCTCGGTGTTTTTTTGTTTATATTAATAAATATACATTATTATTATATTCATGGAATTTATAATTCTTGTTTTTTATAAAAAAATGGAGGTTTCACTGATGTGTATTTAATTAATAAAAATGGATAAAGTTCGAATAAATGATTGAGAATTTATTGAATAAATGAATAAATTTAATTAATAATATGGATAAAGTTTGGATAAATGATTGAGTATTTATTGAATATAATTAATAAAATGGGATAAAATAGAATTAAGAAAAAGATAATTTAAAAATAAAACAAACCAACTTAAAACATTCACACGAAATAGAAAATCTATAGAAGGATTTCAAGCAATTATTTGACAAAAAGACTGTGTTGAATCTCGATTTTTCATTTGGTGAAATGGCCATGGAAATTCGTGAATTATTTGGTAAAAAAGAAGTTGCTTGCCACTATCATTAAAAATTTCTATAAACGAAAAACAAATCCTAGAAGGAAAACACTAGAGGCAATTCAGTAATGAGTCAACAAAGAAAAGGGGGGAGTAAAGTTGATGAAGATATTGAAAACAAAGATACAAATATTAATAATATTGTGGAAGTTAAATTTTTGTCAGAATGCCCAAATAATAGGTAATACTTACAAATGGCTTTGGGTCTGGAGTATTTTCTTCCCATGCAAGTACTCTGACAATTCTTTAACTTATATTTTATATGGGGCATGCTGCAACAAAACCAGATAAAGTGAACACTGGTATTACCAAGGATTTCAGGGATCAATATCGTTTTTTAACATCACAATTATATTATCATGTAATGTGGTCATGATATTTGTCTAGACAAAATAGTTAATATGAAACTCATTTACATAAGGTCTAATATGGAACCCAAGGATTACAGCACCATTAGAAGTATTTCGAAAAAGGAACAAGGTGAGAAAATTGCTCCTTACATTTTAAATTAGCAGATACCAAATCTTTGCAAACATATTTAGACAAAGAAAAAATTACCTATGAAATTTACCAAGAGGAAAGAAAAATAATAAATGTTAGAAAAAGAAAGCAGAATGAAAGTATATTATTACCCAACAAAAAGCAGAAATCCTTAGAAGTAAAATAATTTCATTATTACAATATTGATTTATTTTTTTTTACTATATACAAGAAAGAAACTTTCTCTTTTATGCAAATGAGGTAAATAATCCTGCCTTGTTGTAAAAGAATCACTAGTCCATTTTGTAACAATCCCTAGATTTTTTTGGAGATTCAACTGGCCCCTAAATTCTATTACCATATTCATAATGTGGAGAAATTCATTTTCGTTCCACTGGATGAACATGGATAAATATTATTTGGGGAATTTGCCATTTATTTTATTTTATATTTATTTAAGAAGTCATCTTTCAATTATGGATTGTACTTTTCAGGAAGTTTATAAGCTTACCCACAAATATAGATATTAGATTCATTTGTTTTTTTTTTATTTATTTATATATTCCTAACAATTGTAAATTAATATTTAAAGATATAAAGTTAATTCAACTTTAACTTTTGTAATTTTACAACAATTAAATTACTTGTTCATTAAAATTGTTCAATAATTGTAATAAATTATCTGAACATTTACACATTTATTTCTGGGCAAAAAAAATATTCAAATAACAACTTCTAATAAACACAATTTTATTTTTTGGTTCAAAAACAATCAAATAATCAATAAATATTTTCACAGTACTTTCATCCATAATAACATTTAAAAAAATGCTTACATTCAATAATGAATTTTTTTGTGGGTTGTTAATTGGACTCTTTCTTGGTTTCTTATTTCACTATAAAATTTATCAAAATCAATTCTCTATTATAAATCAAAAAATTGATCAAATAGTCAATAAAATAGAACCAAGAAAAAGCCATTTTAAAAATAAAATAACCAACTTACTGTTAACAAAAAACATTCACATGAAATGGAAGGTTTTCAAACAATTATTTGACAAAAAGACTGGGTTGAATCCCAATTTTTCATTTAATAAAATGGCCATTGAAATTTGTAGGTAATCCTTTCTTTTCTTAGATAAGTTTCCAATGCCTGAGTATCACTTATTTTGAAAATGTAAGGTGCAACTTTTTCACCTTGTTCTTTCTTCAAAATACCTCTAATAGTGCTGTAATTTTTGGGTTCCATAGTAGACCTGATATAAATGAGTTTCATATTATTGTTTTTATATAGGGGCAGCTATATATAAAAGATGAAACTATCACATTACACATTACAATTGTGATGTCAAACAAATATTATTGATCCCTGAAATCTTCAGTAAGACAATGTTCGCTTTGTCTGGTTTTGTTGCGAGCATGCCCCATATAATCATGTTTTATCACAGTGACAAAATCAAACACTGATCTTCAATTTAATTAGTGCTTTCAGTTTAACAAAACTAAATTAAGAATAAAAATTTTTGACTGACATCATAAAATTATAAAAACAAAAATGAATGCAAGCACTGTCAACAATAACAATAATGGCGATTCACAAAACTCTTTTAATGGAAAAGAAAAAAGGTTTTCAAGAGGTTTTTTACAGTATCCAATGCTAAATACACTTTTTATTTTAATTATTAATATCGAAAAGTGCCAAGAGTCGCACTAAAAAGCCCCATTGGAGAGGTGGAGTTACATTGATCCGATTCTCAGCCCAGGGTTAGAAAGCCAATAGACAGGGCAAAACAACCCAGGGTTGGCAAATTGACTGGTCCATTGCCATTAATAAAACACTAAATATGGTTAAAGTGTTACACTAATGGACCCAATGAACCACCAATAGACCATCAATGGGCCACACATTGCCAACCCTGAAACAACCTGATTCTATCATCAACGAATTGATCAGTTGTCTTGGAACTTGAGCAAAGGACATGGTGAAGCAAAAGTTCAAGAAGAGATGAATAACCTCTACCTTCACTTGAACAAGTTCCTGCTTTTTTCACCAGCCTTGATATGCTTCTCATCATATCCAATGCATTTTGGTCCAACTCAAGGTTGGCAAATTGACTGGTCCATTACCATTAATAAAATTCTAAATATGGTTAAAGTGTTACACACTGATGGACCACACATTTTCCAACCCTGATTCAACTGTATTATTTCTACTGAAGAAAAGAACCAAGCAGGCATAACACTCTTGCAACACCAAACTTCAAAGAAATAGTTTCAATGAGTCAGGATTGGCATCAACCTTGTTTTAATTTTTTAGATTCTAGTTATAGCTCGAAAATAGTTCACAATGAAGCATGTTTATAGTTTTAATAAACCAAGTTGTCTCATTGTATAACAACATTTAATGTATTTTGGTTTATCATAATATATATTGATAATTTTAATAAATTGTTTTAGATAATAACGAAAAATGAGGTATAAATACAAAACATAAGATGTTGCTAAAATATTATATTTATCCTAAATAAATATGATAGATTAAAATATATTTAATATATTCAGTTTATGTGGACATGCCTCAGTGTTAAGATTTCTATCATTTTGCATAATGTAATTAAGCTAGGTTTGCATTACATTACCATTGAAGCAATAAATAATGAAATAATCACATTAATGTATAGATAAAAAACAAACTGCTAGAACTTAAAATAAAATCGATTGATAAATAATATTATTGGATTGTGCAACATAAATAATAACCATATAATGTAAAAATTAATCCAGTTAAGAAAAGAATTTAATTATTGCCAATCCGGGAAAATTTATAGTAAAATCAACTTTAACAATTTTTTCACCCTTATGGAAAGTCACACATTTACTATGTCACATGAAAAAAAATTCATTATCAAATCATCTTGAACAGATGTCAAATATTATATTTACTTATAAAAGTATAGGTTGTTAAATTTGCCAGTTTTCTGCTATTTAATGAGCGTGTTGGATTATGATTAGGGTGTCCAGGACTACAGTGCAGATCATCTATACTCAAAAGTTAAAATTTTTGAAATATTATGTGATCCACACATCAGATTTTAAAAAACTTACCACCATTCAATTCAGCTTTAAAAGGGGAGTCTATTAATCTAAAAAAAAAATTTGTCTCAA